TGTATGACATGAAAATTGATCACAGGCAAGGAAGAGTGCACAATAATGCGGATTCTTTAAGTAGAAGACCCTGTGCGAGTGAGTCGTGTTCACATTGTGATAACAAGGATCACAGATTTGATACTCATCGCGACGTACAAACTCAAACTGAAATGACTTATCCTGAGACTTTGACAGAGATCTGCAGCTCAATATCTTCGGAAATGATGATAGGACAATGTAATAGAGTGTCTCAAACCACAGAGAGATTTCCAGAGAATGACTCAGATGGGAGCTCAGTGATTGGAAATGAAAGTTGTCACGATATATTGAAGAGTATTCAAGAGACTGGAGTTATCTCCCTTAAGAATGTAAAGAAGCTTCAAGACAATGATAAAGTCCTAGGCAAGTTAATGACTTGGATTAAGTCTTGGGAAAAGTCAGAATGGAGAATTATTTCACCTGAAAGCAGGGAAGTTAAGTTTTACTTAGCCAGATGGGATTCAATTTACCTTAGACAAGGTGTATTATATCAAAAGTGGGAATCTGATTCAGGACATCAGATAGCGGGAAGCTGGTATTACCTAAAGAGCTAAGCTCATTTATTCTATATGAATTGCACAGTTTACCATCCTCTGGACATTTAGGAGTAAATAAGACATTAGAACGGATTAAAGCTCGATTTTTCTGGTATGGGATGAGAAGAGATGTTGAACAGCTGTGTAAAACATGTGATTTATGTGCATCAAGGAAAAGACCGAAACAGCATTATAAAGGACCATTACAGAGACATACAGTTGGGATACCTATGGAACGTGTTGCTCTGGATATAATGGGCCCTTTACCTTTGAGCGATAAAGGAAACAGATATTTACTTGTTATAGAAGATAACTTTACAAAATGGTCAGAAGCAGTTCCATTGCCTGACCAGGAGGCTATAACAGTAGCAAAAGCATTAATTGGAAATGTGATTGCAAAATTCGGAGTTCCGAGAGAATTGCATTCAGATCAAGGAAGTAACTTTGAATCAAATGTTTTTAAAGAGATGTGTAAACTTCTAGGAGTTCAGAAGACTCGTACAAGTCCTTACAGACCACAGTCAGATGGGATGGTTGAGAGAGCTAATCAGACAATTGAAAATATGCTTTCCATGTTTGTAGAGCCACATCAAAAAGATTGGGACAAATATATACCTTTGATCATGATGGCTTACAGATCATCAGTTCACGCATCAACAGGAGTGACACCATGCTGTATGATGTTAGGAAGAGAAATTGCTCTTAGAGTTGATCTTTATTTTGAAAGACTACCAGAAGAATGGAAGTGTATACAATTCTGTCTATGCATTTGAATTAGAGGAAAAGTTAGCGGAAATTCATGAATATGCACGAAAGAACTTACAGATTGCTGCTGGTAAAATGAAAGAATATTATGACAATAGGATGAATTTTAAGAAGTATGAAAAGGGAGACGCAGTGTGGTTGCATAATATGGCAAGAAAGAAAGGAATTTCACCGAAACTACAAAGGCCATGGCAAGGCCCTTTTCTAGTGACACACCGATTGAATGATGTTTTGTACAGAATTCAAGAGACACCAAAATCGAAGCCAGAAGTTGTTCATTCAAACAGACTCCAGCCATATGTTGGAGAAAATCATCCCAAGTTTAATGTAAAAGAAAAACAAACAGAAGAAATAAATTACGAAATTACAGATGGTGTTGTTTTGTTTGAACATGTTAAAAGAATTTGTGAAAATCCAGATATTTCGATTTTTCAAGAATGTGAAACTGAAGATAATGGGGGGGTCTGAAAATATAAATGAATTGCAAACAGCTGAAAATTCAAATTCAAGTTTCAAGAATCCTATAAATGACCAATTAAAAGAAACACTCTTTGACAGTAAAAGACAAAGAAAATTACCAAAAAGATTTTGAGATTATGAAATGATATAAAGCATTTATGATAATTGTTCTATTCTTATTACATAATTATTTCTATTTTACAGATCAACACATATTTTTGCAAAATATGTGATCTGCAGTCAGAGTCTAAATATTCTATCAATCGACACATAGAACAGCATTCAGGGTTCGCGTGGCAGTGTACGTCTTGCAAAAGAAAATTAAGAAAGAAGAATGAAGACCATTCTCCATGCGGCCAAGATGTCAGAAGTTTATGTTTACATTACAGGAGTAAATCAGAGGGAGAAAAGGCAGAGAAAATGTTTAAAGATTATTGCTTAAAGACGTTGCCAAATGAGGTTTTGCAAATTAAATTACCGAGACCAGCCCCAAGCAACCAAAGAGAAAGAGAAAGAAAAAGAAGTCCTAATGAAGATGCAATTTCCCTTCTATCACCTGAAGAAGAAATTGAGTTTGACGAGGACACTTTTGGAATTTCCTCCAAGAAGACAAAAACAGAGTCTGATATTGATCTTAAGAAGATGCAAAATCACTCGATTCTAGATGTTGGTGGTAACAGATTTAAAGTGAGCAGATACACCCTAAAAAGTGCAGAGGGGAGTATCTTTGCAGGAATTGAGACCGTCAAGCCCTTGCCAGGATCAACTTCAACACCAACGTATTTCATTGATAGAGATCCAAAGTTCTTCCCCATTATTCTGAATTACCTAAGAAATGGAGACATACACCCATCCACCTTACCAGACGAGAGAGGTCAACTCCACGCATTGAGCCTCGAGAGCAAATTTTTTTTAACGCTTTAAAGAAATGCTAAAATTTGATCTTTTTAAATGAGTTTTTAAAATCTTATCATCAACATTTGAATTTAGCTTAAGATAATATATAAACAAGAGAGCTCACAAATGTTTGTAAATATGTTTGCATGAATTTTAACTTTCTGTTCATTTAAGCACTCATGTAGTAGGTTGTAGTTAATTTAGGGACTAAATAAGTCTTAAGAAGGGGGTAATGTTATACAGTCATATAAAACTTAGGTAATAATTTAAAAGTTTATAATTAATTTTGTTAGACATTAAGTAAGTAAAACAATCTTAATTCTAAGATAGAATATAATCCTAGCTTTACACAAAGTTGCATTGATAAGATCTATGTAATGGTCAGCCGGAATCTTAGCAAGCAGGCTAAATTGGAAGATGGGACCTCCTGGTGGAAAAGTACTTTGACTGCAGCTTCCGCCCTTAAAAACCGTAACAAAGACCATTAGACTTTGCAGTTCTTCTAGGATCCCGAAGATGTCAGAGGCCCAACTAAGAGCTGACCGTGAATTGGTATATTTTTGGATCATTTGATAATTTAAACTGGTGATTTTATGGTTAATAATTGGAATAGTTTCATTGGTACATTTAGGTGAAATCTGGATTATACATGGTGCCCTTATAGTATTCTTGAAACATAACCCTTATTCAATAGGAGTTAACTCATTAGTACTGGTGATGTTTTTATACACCAAGTCTCAAATGCATAGATTTTGTACTATTTTATGAAGCTTACAAGAAATATAGCACCAAAAAGGAGTGGTAGAGTTTTGGGGAACATCTGTAATGGTCCCCGTTACAATTAGCACTAGTTGTTGATATTTTAGATTCACCGGGTGCGTTCAATCGTCAAAGTCTGCTCACAACACCTGCACTGACTGACAATATATTGTGTGTTTGTTGTGCTTTCGAACTTTGTCTACTCTGAATTTTTTCGATTGTAGTATTAATTTTATTCATTTATACAAAACAAGATTTCCAATTTTCCTAAGTATTATGAATAAAATTAATTTTTTTCAAAGTGCAAGAATGTGTCAATCAAACCAGCTAAATAATTTGATATTTTAATAACTTTCAAATGAAATAAGATTTAGTATAAATTTTTTTGTGAAATGCTATTAAAATATATATGTAAGTCGTAATAATGTATAGAAAATATTAACTTCAACGCTGTTTCCAAGTACCTTAATACTGTTCGTTATAAATATGTTCTGTATATTAATCACACTATTTTATATGTCACTACAGCTGGAAAACCTTTTATTACGTCTTACCTTTATTATCCTGTATGTTATCGATTAAGCAAAAACTGTTATCTGAAAAAAAAAAATGATATCCGATCCTCAGCCAGGAAGGATAACTCCAAAAATAGTTATCTTTATTTTAGAGTAATAAAATTATTTCTTTTTCTAAAATCTGTACTTTATTATAATTTTCCTCTGAAACCAAAATCTCTATTCTATATACCAAACAAGAGATGTTTGTAAAACACTTATGCCCTCCTCCCCCCAAATTGGAATTTTTTTAAGTCCGAAAGGGCATAACTGTCAAAATTGGTGCGATTGTAACAAAAACAGAACCATTCATCTGATAAATCAGTATACTAAATTTCATCTCAGTACGTGCAACCTCTATAAAGGAAATGAATAAAAACTGCAAATAATTTGAATGTTTCTAAGTCCAAGGGACATAGATCTGTCAAAAATGGTGCGATCGAAACCAAAACAGAACTTGACCTAGACATACCTCTGATATATCTGAATAAAAATTTCATTTCAGCATGTGCAACCGTTGCAAAGAAAATGAACGGAAACTGCAAATAATTAAAATTTTTCTAATTCCAAGGGACATAAATCTGTCAAAAATCAAGCGATTGTATCGAAAACAGAACTTGTCAAAGATGGCGCGATCATACCCAAAACAGAACTTTACCTAGATATTCATGTAATATATCAGTATACCAAATTTCATTTCAGTATGTGCAACAGTTGCAAAGAAAATGAGCGGAAACTGCAAATAATTGAAATTTTTCTAAGTCCAAGGGGCACAACTCGGTCAAAATTGGTGCAATTATACCCAAAACAGAACTTGACCTAGGTATTCATGTGATATATCTGTATACCAAATTTCATTTCAATATGTTCAATGGTTGCGAAGAAAATGAACGGAAACTAAGTAGACCGACAGACAGCATCAAAACAATATGCCCTCCCTTCTTCGAAGGGGGTCATAAAAAGCCCAGTAGCATATCTACGTAATTGTTGTGGGTAGTATACTTTTCCTTCATTTTACATATTTTGCCACGCACACCTTACCTGGTATCTTTTTTGTACCGGTTCCTATAAAATTCTGTGCCTCTATTTTGAAGGCATGGTCGTGCGATTGAGCAGTTCTGATAACAAGCACAGGGCTTGGAAGAGAATTTGAAGTCCCTTTGTACTCCTCTAGATTGACATCTATGGGTGTGTACTCATCATTGTCTTTGTTTTTAGTACTCCACTGAACCAAAAACACCGCTGGACAGGAATTTGTCATCGCTGTAAAAGCTAAAGTCCCATTTCCTCCCTTTTCCGGCCTTTGTACTTGAGGTTCAGGGATACCTATTAGATATAGAAAAATTTCAAATAGTTTTGATGTTTTCTTGTTAATTAGAAGTGCGAGTGTATCCTTAAAATTGAGTATTTTAGAGTGGCGACTAAAGTTTCTATTGTGTGCAACTCTGGAATTTTATAACGTGTTATTCACATGTTCAATGTACATGCAAAGTTTTGGAGAAATATCCCTTTCAAGTATTTTTGACCAAGTCGTTAAAATTGGTAGCAACTGATCCTTCGCCATGCGCTCGGCACTTGGAAGTGGAATTTGCGGGTCCTTCGGATGAGACCTTAACAATCGAGGCCCCGTGTCAGCGGCAGGCATTGGTACGATAAAGATCCCTCAATGCTCAATGGTCCTCAGTGCTAAGTAAAGGTCAAGATTTTAAGCCCTTCACCGGCATACGGTGACGTCTCCATATGAGTGAAAAGTTCTCGAGAGGACGTTTAACAATATACAGTCAATCCAAGTATTTTTACAGGCCGTCTTAAATACAGGTATAGTTAGTTTAAAATTATATGGGATAGTGTCAATTTTTCCCAATTTAAAGCATATTATGCAATTACTAAAATAGACGTCTTGCTCAATGTATATAATATATGATGCTATATATAATGCTATATTTCAAATTGTATGTTAGAAATACAGAATTATACAGTCTTGTTTTCGGAGGGACAAAAGTAATGAAATTTTCCTTTTTTATTGGAGTACTACATAAACATGATAGAAAAAAAAGTAATACAAATGATTGAGAAAATCTAAAATTCCTTTGTTGTAAAAAAAAAAAAACCTTTACTTTTGCCTTTTATGCCCTGTGAATTTCCGAAAAAACTTAAACTACTTAGTTTTAGTTAACAATGCATTAAATATCACAGTCAATGCATTACGATGTCGCGAAATGTGTCAATTTCATCATATTCTGAACAAGAAGCCCATGGGCCACATCGCTCACCTGAGCACTGGTTGGAAAAGCAGAAATCAGTTAATTATTGAAAAGCTTAAATCCAAAAGTGGTCCCAACCAATCCTTAAAGGGAAGAGGGTATTATTTGAACAAACATGAATCTACACTAATTATAACAAAGGATGTAGCTTTATTGCCCTTTACATTTGAACTGACATTGTGGCCCCGCCCTACCCTGAACACAGGAAGAAACAAGACCTTTCAGTTAAAACTGAAAGACGGCTTTCAGTAACTTTTCAGTGGCCATTCAGCCACTGAATGGCACATACATTTCAGTGACCTTTCAATTGCCTTTCAGTCACATTTCAGATACCTTTCAGCCACCATTCAGTGACCACATTTCCGTCAACTTTCAGTGGCCTTTCCATCAACTTTCAGTGACCTTTCCATCAACTTTCAGTGACCTTTCCGTCGTCTTTCAGTGACCTTTCCGTCGACTTTCAGTGACCTTTCCGCCACCTTTCAGTGATATTTAAGTCTCAATTTAGCAATTCTTTCACTAGCGTATTATTTATAATCAGATATTTTTCCTAAACAAGGAAAGCATATTTTGAATAAAGATTTATTATTCAATCTTAATTGTGTTTATTTTTTTTACTTATCGTGATCAAATTCGGGTACTTTGAAATATGTCTAAGCAATTATTGAAATTTTATAAAATATTTGAGACTTATTCAAAATGATTTTTAATTTTCTAGTTATATTTAGAAAACAAAAATTCGTCAAGTGATAAAAAATGATGATCCGAGAACCGATTCAAAATTTAAATAAATGCATAACATTCTATAGTGCTTATACCTGTATTTTTCATGGAAATATATAGTTTTGATTGATGAGACAGAATTTATATTATTTAAACCATCTCTGGAAGATCGCAAGTATTACTGATCAATTTCGTTTCTTAATTATGTCATTGTCAAAACTGCAGGATATTTAGTTTCTGAAAGACATTATTTTAAATTCATTTTTAATTACAAGAATAAATAAATCGTTTATACATGACTCTTGTAGAAAAAAATATATAGTAGATTTTAGCTTTCTAAATGATATTGATTTAATAAAATCATTCTTCTATTAGTTTCTAGAGAGAGAATTTACAACGATCTTAAATCTTTGACACAGGAACAGGTGCCCGTCTCTGATAATTGTCATCATCCCGATAGGAGATGTGTAATTAATTAGTCTGTCCCCAAAATCCGCGCAACTAACATAGAATATACAAAAGATATACAAGATATATACACATCGCAGCTCCTCGATACCACAGGTGAACTGATTGTTCCATCGATTTCTATAGATTAATTGATTTTAAATCCTTATTTCTTAACAAGAAGTCGTGGCGTAATCGATAAGGTCGCGGACACCTATGCAGGAGACCAGGGTTCGATTCTGGGCATGGGAGTAATTATTTTTTCTTGTATTAATTTTTTCCTATTTTTTTTTATTCGGAATTAGATACATTTAATGCTATTATACCAGGAAAAAGTGAAATAAATTTTTTATGTAAAAAAATAAGCCGATTATTCAATAAAAAGATTCAACTGAATGATCACGGAAAGGTCACTGAAATGTATGTGCCATTCAGTCGACTGAATGGTAACTGAATGATCACGGAAAGGTCACTGGAAAGGGTCTTTTCAGTGACCTTTCAGTGATCATTCAGTGGCCATTCAGCCACCATTCAGTCGACTGAATGGTGGATTTTCATCCTGTGGAAGGGGTTATGACTTGAACAAAATTAAATATACACTACCTGAGAATGCTTCCATATAAATATGACTAATTATCACTTTGCTAGTCTTGAGAAGAAGATTTTTCAAGAAATTTCCTATAAATTTGTATGTAAAACTTAGATCAGCCATTGCGGCTCCGCTCTACCCCCGGAGGGTCAAAATTTAAACAAACCTGAATCTACGCTACCTGAGGATGGTTCCAGATGAATATGATAATTCATGCCTTTGCTATTCTGAGAAGAGGTTCTTAAAGAATTTCCTGAAATATTTCTATGTAAAACTTGATCGGCCATCGTGGCCCGCCCCTTACCCCAGGGGTCATTATTTGAACAAACCTCAATCTACACTACCTGAGGATCCTTCCATATACACTTCATCTTTCCTTGCACAGTTGTTCTTGAGAAGAACATTTCTAAAGAATTTTCTATATATTTCTATGTAAAGTTTTGATCGGCTATTGTGGCGCCGCCATACTCCGAGGGATCATGATTTGAATAAACTTGAATCTACAAGACCTTAGGATGCTTCTATATAAATATGATCAGTCATGCCTTTGCTATTCTTGATTTTTAAAGAATTTCACAATATATTTCTATGTAAAACTTTGATCGACCATTGTGGCCCCGCCCTTACCCATGATTTGAACATACTTGATTCTGCACTACACAGGATGCTTTCCTATAACTTTGAAGTTTCCTGGCACAGTGGTTCTTGATTTTTAAAATATACCAACAAATTTTCACTATATTTGAAATATTTCCCCTTGGAAAAGGAAATGGCTCTTCATTTGAACAAATCCGAACCCCTTTCACCTAAGGATACTTTGTTACGAGTTTGGTTGAAATTGGCCGAGTGGTTCATGAGGAGAAGATGAAAATTTAAAAAAAAATTACAACGACGACGACAGACGACGGACAAATTTTGATCAGAAAAGCTCACTTGAGCATTCCGCTCAGGTGAGCTAAAAAGTCTACATAACAGCCAATTTTTAAAGCTAATTTTTGAAAATTGATAAAGAGCGCAACCTTTTATCTAAAATATACAACTTAATAATAGAACTGTTTTGATTCTGTGGTTTAAAAGACATGTTTTAGGTTTTAGATAAGAGAGTGTGCTCGTATTGTTTTTCTTCACCGTAAGTACTCAAATAAACCGTGTTACCTTAAATTCAAGAATATTGCATTTCATAAAGCCAGTTTTCAAAGACCTGGACTTTTAGGAGAATATTTTTTTTATTTGGAAATGAAACCACTAAGTCTGCCTACAGGGCCATTTTCTGCATGAAGTGAACTGAGCTCTTTGAGAGCATACCTTTAATAATTTTTTTGTTGTATAGTGTGTTTATGTCTTTAATACCTTCAGTTTATCATGTCAAAATCACGACATCTATACCTGCATACATATCAGTTGAAAAACCGTTTTTAACATCAGTTACTAGTATATGAAATTGTTATTAATTTTTTTTCATTTTTAACATGTAATTACTTAATTTAATCATCTTTTGTTGATTTTGCAAAAAGTCTGCTTTAAAACAGTAAATATACTTCGTTTTACAATTATGTGCGAGGTAAAGCACAATGAAAATCCAGTCACCCCAATCAAGATGGAGACGATATGGGGCTTTGTGGATGTAAGTCAAATACAATGTCAACTCACATATAGGTTTACAAATGTTTAACATTGCCTGTTTGTACACTCCAAAAGAATTTTGTTTTTTCAGTTGCCTAGACAGTTAATTAATATCACGATTAAATTTTATATTAGAATAATGTAAATAAAGCGCCAAATTATACAGGGATTCCATGTTACCCCAGAGGAACTAGAAAAAGCCTCTACTTCAATATAACTCTTCCTTGTTCTTAATATTCTGAATGCAAATTTAGTGCATTAAAAAAATAACTGAAGGTATTATTACTGTTAGCAAATCCAGAGATATCATTTGTATGATGGATTATAGTAAATATTGTGACATGAATCTATATCGAGTCAAAAAGTAACACAACTGCGACAAAAACACGGCAAAAATTGAATATCAATGATTACCTAGAACGATGATATCCCCAAGAGTTGTTCCCAAGGCGTTGGAAGCTTTACACTGATACGATCCAGCGTCGTGTTCGTTCACATTGTTAATGACCAATGTCGCATCTCTGATTGTTCCTCCAGTATATTTTCCTCCACTACTGGCTGTATCTATCAGTTCATTATTTTTCATCCAAACAATTTCCTTAAGTGGAGGTGAGTTTTCATAGAGAAAAATCTCACATATCAATGAAACTGAACGGTTCTTAATATTCGTTTCAGTACAAATTGAGATGTTTGGTGGACCTAAAGTAAATGATTAAACACTATTAAATTAGTATTGCTGAAATATAAGATCTTTATACCTAATACAATGAGCATTTTCTAAAAAGATTAGAAATTCCGATGCTACTTAGCAATGACGGCTTCCCTAAGCTTTATAAATTTTAAAACATAACACTGCACTGCTAAGTTCGTTAGGGTTTGTTTTGTAAGTTATGTACTTCAAGGTTTCACACTTGTAATTGACTAATCAAAATGAACCAAGTCTCATGTTACATACATATGAAATTGATTTTCGTTCCCACATGGGTTTACCAATTCCTGACTAAGTCATGTAGTCACCAGAAGAACTCACTAACAATACTGTAATATTTACCTCCTGTAACGTTGATAAAAACGGTGTTACTCAGGGATTTGTCGATTTTATTCCACGTTAAAAGTCTGTAAGAAAGCTTGTCATAAAACGTCGCCTTTCTTAAGACAAGGACGGGATTTTTTGGATCTTGTTCAGATCCATAATATTTTGGGTCCCCTACATCTATGTCTTTAAACTCAATCGAATCTGAGCTTTTCTGCCAGACTGCTCCTTCACACGGTGGACAGGATGTAATATTAGTGTCTATCCGAATATCATTGCCAAAACATACAGAATTTTCTGTTGATATTCTAACATTTGGTAAATCTGAAATTAGGATAGAAATAGAAGGTCAATGTTAAACTAGGGCTGATTGGAACGGGAACCGCTATACAGATGTTCCCAAAACGCTCCAAAACACCCTTTTGGTGCTTCAATTCTTCTAAGCTTCATTTAATAAGGCAAACTCTAAGCATCTTAGACTTTAACAACCTTTTTTTCTGTGTATACCATGTATATTGCAAATTTTTGCATTGCACATGAGCGCACGTGCATGTATATGCAAAATGACCATATCATTTTATCTACACTATCAATATTCTTGAATATACGTAAGTTTAAGGCATCTACTTAAAAAGTTAAAAATTACACTAAATCAAGTGCAATTGAAACTTTACGCATTGTACCTGCACGCACGTGCACGCATGTGCATGATGCCTATATCCTCTTGTAGGAGTTCATTAAGTCTATCTATGTTCTAAATCCCATCCCGTTTGGTTGAAAAACAAGGAGGTTATAGCTATTCTAAGTTTAAGCAAATCACATTGCAGTGCACGTGCATGCGCATGTTTTCACGACAACTGTTATATATCATATTGTAGGACATCCTAATGCATGACATTGTTTAAGATTTCAAAGCATTTCGTCAAAAATTAAAAAAGAAATTGCGATTTTTGTTTCAGGCAATCAAAGCAAAGCACACATGCATGCATGTGCATGACGAACATACCTCCTTGTAGGAGTCCAAGATGTCTGTCTATGTTCTAAATCCCATACTGATTGGTTGAAAACAAGGGAGTTATAGCCATTAAGATTGTAGTGCACGTGCATGCGCGTATTTACATGACAATTGTTATATATCATATTGAAGGGCATACTAAAGTATACCTATATTTTAAATTTCATTGCATTTCGTCAAAAACAGAAAAGATACTGAGATTTTTGTTTCAGCCAATCATAGCGAAGCGCACGTGCATACGCGTGAGTTCGTGCTAATTTGACAGTGTCACATTATCTACAGTATTAATATATCTTTATATATTGAGTTTCAAATCATTTCATCAAAAAATGTAAAAGTAATAGCTATTTTAAGTATATCATTCAATTCACCCATTTCAAGCGCACGCACGTGAATGCGTATGCGCGCAAAATGACCTTCGTTCCTTTCACCTACACTACACATCTATTAACCCTAAAAAAGTTTCAGCTCAGTTGGGTGAACAGTTTCTGAGAACACTCGCGGACAAAAAAGTACCATAGAACAAATAAGAAAAAAAACTAGAGCAAAGCTCGTTGCAAAGCAACGAGTAGGTCTTCCGTCCTGTTTGACCGGAAATTACTTTTATTTTACAAAAATAAGTAACAATGCCGAAAAATGGTTTAAATCCTATAAATCTATGAAAACTAATGCAAAAATAAGCCAGTTTTTGCTACTTCCGGTTTGACCGGAAGTGATGACGACGGAGGAAAAATTAATTTTTATGCTCCCAGTGACAAATGTTACCCAAAATCTTGTCAAGAACGGCAAAAATATGCGTTTTCTGACTTCTTCCGGTTTGGCCGTATTTTGACTCCAGTAGATGAAACTTGACATTTTGAACAACTTTGCTTCTTTGACGTATAACAAATTCTCAATACTTTTTTAGATATAAAAGAAAAAGATTTTACCCCGCTAGACCCTTAATTTTAGGGGACAGCCCTTTTTTCGAGATATCATTTTAAAAATCTTGGAATTCTACACTTCTTTTGTTATACATGTTTTCACAAAATATTTCTAGGTAAAATGTTATCTTTGAAAATTCTCAAAATTTTTGAAATTGGCGATAGGACTATTTTCGGGCTTTAACGAGCTTCCGTACTCAGCAATTTAGGTGAATATGAAATGCGTTCCGCTCAACAACATTTATTGCTCTATTATCTCTGAAAATCTCAAGTTTCTAATTTAAGCCGTTTTCGAGAAAACTCGCGGACAAACTAGCCCTCTAAAATTCAATAAAATGCAAAAAAAAAAAAATCTCAGAACCGGAAGTGACGTCATCAAAATAAACAAGAGGCCCAGGGACAACATCGCTCACCTGAGCAATTGACTAGGAAAAAAGCACATATGACATCAGAACTAAAAGTTTACTGAAGGTGGGGGGCTTGAATTTTAACCCCCAGGGGTCATGATTTGAACAAACTAGAATCTACACTACCTGAGGATGATTCACTATAAATATCACTAAGCATGGCTTAGAAGAACATGAAAAGAAGATTTTAAAAGGTAAAAATTTAATCGGCCATTTGGGCCCCACCCTACCCCCGGGGGTCATGATTTGAACAAACTTGAATCTACACTACCTGAGGATGATTCCACATGAGTTTCATTTTTCCTGGCTCAGTGGTTCTTGAGAAAAAGATTTTTTTAAAATGCCATTAATTTTTCTCTGATTCATAATTATCTCCCCTTGGAAAAGAGCGTGGCCCTTTATTTGAACAAACTTGAATCCCCTTTACCCGAGGATACTTTGTAGCAAGTTTGGTTGAAATTGTCTTAGTGGTTCTTGAGAAGATGAAAATGTGAAAAGTTTACAACGACAGACGACGGACAAATTTTGATCAGAAAAGATCACTTGAGCCTTTGGCTCAGGTGAGCTAAAAAATATATGTCTAGATTTTTACATATTCCATCAGCCCTGAAAGTTTCATGAAAATCGAGCAAGCCGTTTCCGAGAACTCGCGTACACAAAATCGGTAAGAAAAAAAAAAAGAAAAACTGTGGAAAAGAAACCTAAGAATTACAGAAAGGTCTTCCGTTGGAAACGGAAGACCTTAACTAGATTCGATCTCGTTGCGAATAATATTTTATTTAAAATATTAAATATTATTAAAAATATTTCCCATTTTCGAGATATAAAGCGTCAAAGATTTAGCATTCTAGGCCCTCGTGGCCCCCAATTATGTTATATATAATATAAAGATCATAATATATAAATGTAGTTGTAGACTGTTGAAATCAGCAATTTTACTTCAGTATTGTATATCAAACTATTGACTGTAAAAGAGTTAATAAATAAAAAAAAATTGGACCTATTTGCCCTTCATGTGATGAGTCAGCACTTTTTTCTTGATATCAAATTACAGATAATTCTGCATAAATATTGTTCAGTATGTTTTAACAAAATATTAATACTTTAAAATATATTAGTTTTGTTTCAAAACTACCATTATTCCTCTCTAGTATAACAACATAATTTTTTAAAAACTGTAATTCTACATAATGGCTTAACAACGCTTAGCTTTGGGGATTTTGGCATTTTGCCAAATTGAGAAAATTACCATTTTAGACCCTTTTTCAAAGCCATTTTTTAATACTTTGCACACTGATTTGAAATTCAGGAAACAGTGCATTGTACAGATGGTAAAAAAGTTAGTTTAAACACATTAAAATATTTATGGGACACCCCACCTTTTTGTTTTAAAAAGCTGATGAAAAATTACCCAAAATCTGCAAAATTTCCATATTTCAAGGAACATATGCACATTTCATTAAGTTCATATAGAAAAGATATGTTCCTTTCTACCTGTTTTGATGTCGTTTACAGTAAAATTAGTCCATATCTAGGAGACGTGTCATGTAAAAATATTCACATCCCATTTCCAAGAGCATTAATACATGTAAATATGTTCGTAGATAAGAGAACTGTGAACACTTGCACAAAATGCCCCCCCCCCTTCCGTAAAATTGACAATTTTGAAGTACATGTAGACTAACCAGGGCATGTTTCAAGTTTCCTTATCCTATCCCCTTAGATTGAAACTAATATGAAATAAAATTTTCCCTATCCATTCTCTATTACTATGGAAACAGGAATGCAAGATTTGTTACCATGGAGACAATACCAGATTTTTAACCAAAATGGCTGCATTTAACTTAATTCCCAAAACTACACTTATTTACTTTTTTATAAAACCTGTGTAATGAGTTAAATGTGAATGTGAACTAAATTTTTTGGCATCTTAAATTTGCATCTTTATGATGTTGCAAAAATATAATGCATTTTGTAATGCTATGCCAAACAATTGCAAAACCTTGTGGCTTTTACTTTTTCAAGATTTGGTCAAACTTGAAAAATTCTGAAATGAAACTAAAACAAGCAGGGCATTCATAATATTTTACTCATTTCAACTTCTTACTTTGTATAATTACTTATTGTCCCCCGCTTTAAACATTAAATCTTATTTTATTTAAACATTAAATCTCATTCGTCTGTCCGTCTATCCGTCTGTCTGTCTGTCTGTCTAGCTGTCCGTCCGTCACAAAAACTTTAACCTTGCCCATAACTTTTGATTTAGTGGAGCTATGACTTTCATATTTCATATGTGTATTCCTTGTGACAAGACTTTTCTTTGGGTACTACCAAATTTGACCTTGACCTTGGAGTTTGACCCAATTTTACACAAAAATTCCAAACTTTTACTTTGGCCATAACTTTTGAATGGTAGGTACTAGGACTTTCATATTTCACATATGTATTCTTTGTAGCAAGACCTTTTATTGGGTACCAACAACTTTGACCTTTTGACCTTGACCTTGGAGATTTCAGTACTTATGAAAAAATTTAACTTTGACCATAAGTTTTGAATGGTAAGGGCTACGGCTTTCATACTTCATATATGTAATTCTTGTGAAAAGACCTTTCATTGAATACCAAGAACTTTTACCCTTTGACCTTGGAGTTTTACCCACTTTCCAAAAAGTTTGACCTTGGCCACAACTTTTGAACAGTAGATACTAGGACTTTCACATATGTATTCTTTGAGGCAAGACCTTTCATTTGATGCCAACAATCTTGACCTTTTGACCTTGACCTTGGAGATTTTTTGTACTTTTGAGAAAACTTTAATCTTGACAATAACATTTGAATGGTAAGGGCTAGAGCTTTCATACTTCACATATGTAATTCTTTTGAGAAAACTATTCATTGGATACCAAGAACATTAACCCTTTGACCTTGACCTTGGAGTTCAGTGATAATTTCTAAATAGATGACTCATGCTAGGG